ACCGCAACTAAACAAGAGCTTGAATGTTTGAAATGTGCAAACCTGGTCCATCATACAATATAAGCCAGCACATTGCTAAACTTTGCTACATCTACTAGCGTTGTTTGGAGTTTCACTCATGGTTGGAGTTTTACTCATGTTTGGAGTTTCACTCATGGTTGGAGTTTTACTCATGTTTGGAGTTTTACTCATGTTTGGAGTTTTACTCATGTTTGGAGTTTTACTCATGTTTGGAGTTTTACTCATAACTCTGAAACTACTATCTCGTTTCGTTTAAGACAGCTGTTACTAAGTGGGAGACATGATTCTCAAAAAACATTACAAACGTGAGAAATTGACGAAAAAAAAACACACAGAATATCCATACCACGTAAAGCTGGTTACACGGTCAGTAAAATAATCACGCATGTCTACTTTGTTGACATTGACAACCCAAATTTTACAAGCAACTGAACCGCTTGAGACAAAATTTATGTTAACCTAAACATCTTCAATAAACATCGTGATGATTTGTTTGTCAGACATGTCGCAAGTCGGACACGTGACACCACTACATCATCGTGATGAATTTAATTGTGTTAAATTTGTTTTACATCAAATTCTAAATACTAAACACGATGTTACAATTTCATAAAACTCAGAATGTAGCAATATTCAATTGTCTTGTACGATGTTTGGTATTTTGATGATGTTTTGTCGTGAATGTTTTGTCGTTATTTTTGTTGCTGAATTCCTTTATGATATTTAGTTTTTTCATGCTGTTTTGTCGTGAATGAAGGTTGGGTTATTTTTGTTGCTGAATCTACTGTGTACAATATTGTGATGTCATACAGATAAATCTAGAAGAGAAACCTACCTTAAGATATGATGTTGGGTTCGATTTCTCGAGAAACGGATCGGATCGAAACTTTGTCGTCTCTAGCAGATAAGGTTGATCTTGACCTTACCACAGGTAACAATTGGTAGACCTAACGGGCAGGGGGTATACAATCTTGAGATAAGAAAAGGTGACAAGTGTGGCAGATGGGGTGAGGGGGGGGGGGGGTGATTGCTAACTACCTGGTGGATTCCGGTGATTGTCGTAGGTGAAGTAGAGCTTTTCATTGTATGCTTTTAGTGCGTGTGAAGTTAGTCAACATTTATTTGTGTTGTATTACAGATTACTAGATCCTACAGGAAAGATGTATCAGACATACATGACAGATGTATCAGAAATACATAACAGATGTATTAGAAATACATAACAGATGTATTAGAAATACATAACAGATGTATTAGACATACATGACAGATGTATTAGACATACATGACAGATGTATCAGACATACATAACAGATGTATCAGAAATACATAACAGATGTATCAGAAATACATAACAGATGTATTAGAAATACATAACAGATGTATCAGAAATACATAACAGATGTATCAGAAATACATAACAGATGTATTAGAAATACATGACAGATGTCAGCAGCATCCCCCCCCCCTGACACCCAACATCTTAGTCGTGTTGGGTACATGCAACAATCGCACGCTAAACACCGAGGTTTATGAATGTTTAAACTAACCCAAGGTCAAGAGGTCACTGTGTTTAGGCTGAGTTAATCTCATCAAAATAAATAAACTCCTTGCACAACTAATTCACGATCACCAATCATACGTCAAAACTTAGTCAATCATAAACAGAATAAAACGCAGTTTTAGATTCTTATTGTAATTTACATTGTAATATTAGTATATAAATTATAAGATGTTTACCATGAGCGTTATAATGATTTTTGAAATAAGAAACTGAATTTTCATTCACCCGTTTTAGCACTTACCCGTATCCAGCAATGTGTCGTTTATTTAAAAGTTTTAAAAAAAACTTTAACGAGACACGTCAATTGCCATCATGTTGTGTGAGTACTGTAAAAATCTGAAGATGACTCACTTCCCGTGTTGACATTGTACTCATTAGTGCTCACGATTTTACGCCGAGTTGTTTGTAGTTGTCGTTCCTGACTAAGATTTTTGGCATTTACTAGATTTGTCGTCACAGATTAATTTCTCACCCCCTGATGAAATTTTTGTCGCCCCTGATTCGGTTTGTCGCCCCTGATTAAATATTTGTCGCCCTTGATTAAATATTTGTCGCCCCTGATTAAATATTTGTCGCCCCTGATTAATTATTTGTCGCCCCTGATTAGGTTTGTTCCCCTGATTAATTATTTGTCGCCCCTGATAAGGTTTGTCGCCCCTGATTAATTATTTGTCGCCCCTGATAAGGTTTGTTCCCCTGATTAATTATTTGTCGCCCCTGATTAGGTTTGTTCCCCTGATGAATTATTTGTCGCCCCTGATAAGGTTTGTCGCCCCTGATTAATTATTTGTCGCCCCTGATAAGGTTTGTCGCCCCTGATAAGGCTTGTCGCCCCTGATTAATTATTTGTCGCCCCTGATTAGGTTTGTTCCCCTGATTAATTATTTGTCGCCCCTGATTAGGTTTGTTCCCCTGATTAATTATTTGTCGCCCCTGATAAGGTTTGTCGCCCCTGATAAGGTTTGTCGCCCCTGATAAGGTTTGTCGCCCCTGATAAGGTTTGTCGCCCCTGATAAGGTTTGTCACCCCTGATTAGGTTTGTTCCCCTGATTAGGTTTGTTCCCCTGATTAGGTTTGTTCCCCTGATTAGATATATCTCCCAATCCAACAGTTTCTTGATCACAAGTGCGTAAACTTCAGTCCTTGATTGAGGGCATGTAAAAAAAAAAAATCCCCAAAAATCCTTTTTTAATTATCTTCTATGTTTTATGTTAAATGTTTAGAAATTTTACATTCATTTCCGTGTAGGAGGCTAACGTACATTGGAATTTCCAATTGGCAGTGACCTCATTGTCACCTATTCGACTCCCCTTCCAACATGTACATACACAAGTGTACATAGAAATATACACATGTGTACAGACACGTTTAACACCTCAACACACAAGTACACACACTTCAACAAATTCAAACACGTATCTAGATATGTACCAACATATTGTACATAACAACATACAATTTGTTTTTTTACACCCGTTTATAAAAAAAAAAAACTGGAATAGACCAAGATGTTCACTGGACTGTGACGTCTGTATATGGGGAAACCCTGAGACGGGGGAGGAAGGGGGGGGGGGTGGCTGGAAATTTACGGTTTCCAGACACGGGTGTAAGTGGAGTGAAAAATTGTAGAGGAGGGTGGCTGGGGTGGGGGGTGGTGGTGAGGTTTGGGGGGGGGGGGGGTGGACATACATCAGATTTAAAAACACCTATTCCATTGAAATGCTAGCGTGCAGAGGTGTATTTGCTTTTTCCATTTTAGTTGCAAAGTTTTAATTACAAGACATTAAGCCCAAACAAAGTAGTCCAACTACAGGAACTATTTTCATACTTTTCGGAGCGAATGATTTAAATATTTAAAGTGTATTTGAAATTTACATGTTATTACAATGCTACAGTTTTACGTCCGGTTATAGATAATTGTTTTAAAAAAACTCAACATAAATGTATGTCTAATAGTTTCTTTATTTTTTTTGTGATTTGTTTTATTTATTTCCATTTGTCTCTGGGATACCCTCCCCATGATCCTCTCCCACACTCTCCACTACATCTTCTAGAACATTCTACACGTCACACTTCCTTCTTCAGTCGTCTCTCAATGATCTAATACACCACATCTTCTAGTACATTCTACACGTCCCCCTTCCTCCCCCCCCCCCCCCCAGTCGTCTCTCAATGATCTAATATCCCACATTTTCTAGAACATTCTACACGTCACACTTCCTCCCCCCCCCCCCACAGGTCGTCCCTCTGTGATCTAATACTCCACATTTTCTAGAACATTCTACACGTCACACTTCCCCCCCCCCCCAGTCTCCTCTCAATGATCTAATCCTCCAAATCTTGTCACGCTCCTCTCTTTCAACAGAAAATAATTTCTACATTAAAAAACAAACCAATAGAAAAATGAACTTGTTAAAACTTTCGACGTCCTTAAAACAGGGCATGACGAATCCAATTATTACTCATAATTACGCAACACCTATCTCTTAATTACAAAGGTCAAATAAAATATTTCTCAGAGATAATCCCACTTTAAGTGTGTACGTCAGCTTTCAGTGGTTCTTTCAATCGTTAATCGTGTGAACTTGCAACCATTCTAAACTCTAAACTTACTCTTGTGAACTTGCAACGATTCTAAACTCTAAACAAATTCCTGTGAAATTGCAATTTCTCGAACCACTAAACATAATCTTGAAATTACAACCATTCCAAACACTAAACATATCTTGTCAACTTGCAATCATTCTAAACTCTAAACCCGCCCTTGAACTACTATAATCGTATTAATCAAAATAGTCTCATGACCTACGGAAAAGCGGTCACCCTCGGTTTTTTTCCCCAGATGACATCATCATTACTTCGCGGAAGGAAGGCTTTGTTAGGAAATTAAATGAAATTTAATTGATTAGGATCAGTGTTTCTTCCAGACATTTTTCTCCGGGGGGGGGGGGGGGGTCACTTGATATTTTCGGGGGGGGGGGGGTGAGGGGCGGACAACATTTTCCATTTTCTGGTCACTGGTATAAGCATGTTTTCTATATAAATTCCGTTTCTTTCGGGAGGGGGGGGGGGGGGGGCGGTAGACTTTCTAAGGGGGGAGGGGCGCCCAAAGGGATGCCTGGAAGAAACTGATTAGGATTTAGGCCCTTTGATACTATGTAACGAAGGTAGTGTAAGGAAACCTTGTTGCATGAGGTAGGTTAGACCAGCTGACACCCTATGTGAGGGAATTGACCAGCAACCAGTGTTTCTTCCAGACTTGAAGAGATGCCTGGAAGAAACACTGCCAGCAACTTACCAGGAAATGGTTTGGGTAACACAGGGGAACCCCCGCGTGACAGCGCATGTAGGTCAAGGTTCACGACCTGTGTCAAACGCTTCTATCCAGGCGTGTGTCATATCCGTTGGTAAAATATTGTGTACCGTACAGTACACACGTGTAGCTGGCAAATCACATACAACATATCACATGTCACGGACCCAGCAATAAGGAGTACCTGTCGTTGATTCTATCAGGATGTGGTCGTCACCTTAGCGTGAAATGGGTAAATACTGCCATGTGTTGTTTTATTTTTAAGTTACTTTTAGTTTCGGTTTTAAAATGTTCATTCAAACACGGCTAATATGGCCGAGAGGATACTACGTTAGATTTTACAGGCAGGGCCACTGTAAATATAGACATCGCGAATGTCGGGTTAATGTTTTTATTGAAACTGCGATAAACACGCGAAAACATTCGCGGAAGTTGATTAAGTAGCATATAAAATTTGTGTGCTAAAATTCATTGTCTTTTTCCGTCGAGCCTATGACACATGGGGAAGATAAGGTAGAGTTTGTCTGTTTCAAAATCCTCGTCGAAGTGTGGCCAGCACCAATTAGGGCTGGGGAGGCTCAGAGAAGTTCGACAGACTCTTCCGGGATCCGAACTCGGGACTTTCAGGATAGCGGTCGTATACTCTAGCGTACGACCACGCCGTTCCGTAGAGAGTTAGTCTGTGTTATAGAGTCATGTGATTAGACAAAACGTGATCGTCCATTCACGTTACAGGAATCTTTACCGACAGTTACGAATTGACGAAATAATATTTTTCAAAAAGTTGTAGCTCCTTTAAATAAACTCACAAAGTTCCACAAAAATAACACAAATATACAAGAAAGTAAACTAAATCCACTCAAATATAGAAACATTCACTAAGTCGCTCTTCTTAAACATATAATTAAGTGATTATTACCTTTGATATTTTTACCTTGAGAAATTAATATGTGACAATGGCACATGATTGTGTGATAATGGCACATGGATGTGTGGGTTTTGACACAATGATTGTGTGATTTTATTACATGAGTGTCTGATTTTATCACATGATTGTGAGATTGTATTACAATGTTTGTGCTATCTTGGCACATGATTGTGTGACAATATCACGTGATTATGTGATTTTATCACAAAGTTTGGCACATGATTGTGTGATATTGACACATGTTTGTGTGATATTGGCACATGATTGTGTGATATTGGCACATGATTGTGTGATATTGACACATGATTGTGTGACATCGGCACATGATTGTGTGAACTTGGACATGATTGTGTGATATTGACACATGATTGTATGAACTTTGAACATGATTGTGTAAACTTTGAACATGATTGTGTGACATCGGCACATGATTGTGTGAATTTTGAACATGATTGTGTAAGCCACCCCCACATCTTGATTCAGCTCACACTACCCCTCCATCAACTCAATTCCCCCAAAAAACACACACGATCTATTTTAAGATGCGTGCTCTTATAGTTCCGTTATCAGCGTAATCAAGTTTTTATACCGTCCATCTTGTCAGCAGATTTCTGAGTCAGTTGTGTCAGGATTCGTGACTTCAGGAGTGGGAGTGGGTTCAGTCAAGATTCGTAACTTCAGGAGTCTAAGTGAGTCAAGATTCGTAACTCTATGAGTCAATGTGTCAACATGAATGTCTCGAATCTAGAAAGGCTAACCTCGAGATCTCGGTGTGGACAGTTTTCGAACCTGCATTCTTGGGATTATGCTGGACAGCTGGTAGGTGATTGTCTGATTTGTATCCAAATTTCCATTTACTATCCAGACCTGACGCTTTATATCCATCCATGATCCATACCTGTGGCTTTATATCCATCCAACCTTATATCCAGACCTATGGCTTTATATCCACAGACCGTCATCCACCCAGATTTATCTGACGTCTCTAACGTCTGAATTCCAATGCCCTGGGTCTGCCCCCCCCCCCAAGTCATCAAACCATCTAAGCCTAGGCCTTACCTGTGGCATTTTACCTTTGGAGTTTTTGGTTATAAATTTGATGAAAACTTAAAAACAAAATTACGTGCGTTGTTTTAATGTGATTTCAAAGCGACCCAGGATGTGGTTGTGTGGTTATTTACTTGGCATAGCTAATCCATAGGATGCAACAAAGCTTCAGTTTCAAAGCTTCAGTTTAGGTTACATGACAGGAATGTTAGTCAGCTAGGTGTATTTACACTCATAGTTTAGTTTTGTATTTTGTTTTCCAACATTGAACTTTTCCCAGAGGTGCTTGCATGATGCAAGTGATAATCTAAACTAAGATGCAGGCAAGGTTAGGACTGAGTTTTATTTGAGACTTAGTTTTCGTTAAAGTTAGGACTGTTGTTAAGGGCGGTATTTGTCATTAAAATTACCACTAGACACGCATCCTTTAGACATTGGACTACCAAATAGACAAACATCCTTTAGACATTGAACTACCAAATTACCATTGGACTACCATATTGCCACTAGACAAAAGTCCTTTAGACATTGGACGACCACATTACCACTAGACACGCATCCTTTAGACATTGGACTACCAAATAATCATTGGACTACCAAATTACCATTAGACTACCCAATTACCATTGGACTACCAAATTACCATTGGTCTACCAAATTACAAATGGACTACCAAATTACCAACATTGGACTACCAAATTACCAACATTGGACTACCAAATTACCACTAGACACGCATCCTTTACCTCGGCTTGAGAGACTACCACTCCCTCTGTTATCATGAACTATTTGATGCCCACCTATCGGCTGCCCCACAATCACATCCACACAGTCAACTGAACGAATATCACACTCTAGCTGTCTTTCTCAGCCAATCAAAATGTTAGATTTAGTTGCGATATCCCAACAGTTTATTTATAGATAACGATTTTTCTTTTTCGTAGGTTTCGCTTTCAATTTCAGTGTGTATGGCGAAAAGTCATAAATCAATTTAAAAATATTTCTTTGATATTTAAAGAGAAGGCTAAGGATTGTGTGTTTCAACTGCAATGGTACATTAAATTTTTTATTAAAAACATTTGTTTAACATCACTGTGACCCAGATTAAGTTTAACATCTCTGTGACCTACATCAAGTTTAACATCACTGTGACCTACATCAAGCTTAACATCACTGTGACCTAAATCAAGTTTAACATCACTGTGACCTAGATCAAGTATAGCATCACAGGACTCAGGAGATTTTAATTTTTTTTTAACCAATCCGCTTTAACTACGAGCTAAGTGGGGTAATTAAGTGATAACTTGTCACATTGTCTCACGGTTCTAAACCACTATTCATAGATTCTAGTTTTTAAACATCTTTTTGTCTAGTTGGTAAAGTGGAGTACAGCTGTTGGATTATAGAGACTTGTCGTAATATGTTGGATTATAGAGACCTCTCATAATATGAAGCACAACTATTGAATTGTAGGGAACCTTAGTTGTAATATAGAGCACAATTGTTGGATTATAGAGACGTTAGGAATTATAGATTTGCTGAGTGCAGACTTCGTAACGAGGAATATTAAAATATATATTTTGACGTCAAACAAAACTAGAACTTATGAAGTTTGGGCTTAAAACAAAATTTTATGATGTTTGGACGCGAAACTAAACTAGAATATGAAGTTTGGACGTCAAACAGAACTAGAACATATGAAGTTTGGACGTCAAACAGAACTAGAACATGAAGTTTGGACGTCAAACAGAACTAGAACATATGAAGTTTGGACGTCAAACAGAACTAGAACATATGAAGTTTGGACGTCAAACAAAACTAGAACATAAAAAGTTTGGACGTCAAACTAGTATATATGAAGGCTGGACGTCAAACTAGAACATATGACGTATGGACGTCCTAGAGAGTGACACCCACGACGTCTGTGACGTCCTACAGAAACACCAAACACACCAGAGAATACCAAACACACCAGAGAACACCAACCACACCAGAGAACACCAGCCACACTAGAGAAACACCAACCACACCAGAGAACACCAACCACACCAGAGAACACCAACCACACCAGAGAACACCAACCACACCAGAGAACACCAACCACACCAGAGAACACCAGCCACACTAGAGAAACACCAACCACACCAGAGAACACCAACCACACCAGAGAACACCAACCACACCAGAGAACACCAGCCACACTAGAGAAACACCAACCACACCAGAGAACACCAACCACACCAGAGAACACCAACCACACCAGAGAACACCAGCCACACTAGAGAAACACCAACCACACCAGAGAACACCAACCACACCAGAGAACACCAACCACACCAGAGAACACCAACCACACCAGAGAAACACCAACCAGAAACACGGAACGTCAAGATCTTACACATTTAATCCATCATTGTGATTTGATTAAAATCCAGATTCATTGTGTTTTTTTTTATTAATCCCTATTCAATTTACGCGTGATTAGGTTTTAACCCTTTGAGCCCGGGCCTCCCTGGCCTAATTTCTCCCATTACCTGAGCTCCCAGGCCCAAACCAATTTTCACTTATCTGCTTCTAACTTTGCCTATAACTTTTGAACCGTTTGAGATAATCAAGCCAACTTTGGTATCCAGACTCAGGATCAAACAACAATGCAGCAAGATTCTGAAATTCTTTAATTTTTTTTACAATGTTTGAACAAACAATGTATATAAAACGAACACATAATTATTGTTTTGATAGAACATAGAAGAAAACAATTTACATTTAGTAATTGTTTTGTTATTATTGATATCTGGCCATACTAGTTCATCGCCAGAAGTCCTCTTGTGTGTGATAAATTTCAAAACAGTTATCACTGCCGGACCCGATGCAAAGAAAAACTTCGCATGTTTTGCACCAGTAAACAGTTGTTTTTTCGTTTCGGCAAGTCTTTGTCCTTGGCACCAAGTGCATCAGAACGTACTTGAACAGTTTCATTGTCACTGTCAATTTCAATGTCACTGAGTTCAGTCTCAAATTCAACGTCACTATCATCACAATATAGACCAGTAATATTATCTTCTTCATCAGAATCAATAAGTAGTTGTATTGATGAGATGCAGTCATTCTACTTCTTTTGTTGATATTTCGGTCTTTTGCTTCATCTTTTGCACCAACTTTATGTGATGAAATCGACGTCTGTGGCTCAGCTTTTCGTTTCGGCGGCATTGCTACGAAATGTAAACACTTTCACTTTTCCTAAAATCTATTTTTAGAATCATAATCCCGACTAAAAAGACATATGCTCAGTTTTAGTCAGTCTTCCGCAAATTTATTTAATTAGACGGTATACTGGCCGCTAGGAATATGACGCTAGATCATCGGGCCGGAAAACCGGCTTTTCGGACATAAATGCCTAATGTTGAAGCCGGTTTACCGGCCTGGCGGGCTCAAAGGGTTAATAAATCCCAGTTTCCTCAACGTGTGATTAGGTTTTAATTAATCCTTGTTTCCTTAATTCACCTGTGATTAGGGTATAATTAGTTTTATTTTTCTTAGCATGTTATTAGGATTTTAAAAAATCCTAGTTTCCTTAACATGTGATAATGTTTTGATTTCCCAGTTAACTCGCATGAGACTTCTTAAATTTCCCTTATTGAAAACTCACTATGTGAACAAAAATCTTTGCAGACGATGTAGGATGGACACGGTGCTAGCGGTGATGATTGTAGTCACGTCTGCTGGCTGGACCCTCCAGGCTCACTTCTGCCCCATAGCAGCGAAGGGTCAAGAATTCAGCTTAGAATGTCCTGGATCTTTGCCAAAGGACATCAGGTAAACTATAATTGATAGGGCTCATCATCATCATCAATCCTTTATGGCCCCTGGGGAGCAAAGGGCTGCAACCACACATCTCCAGCGGACTCGGTTTTGGGCTGCTCCTCTAATCTGTGCCCATGAGAGCCCAGCTGTTTTTGCCTCGTCTTCAACCGTTCTCTCATGTTTTCTTTGGCCGGCCCACCCTCCTTTTCCCCTGGGGATTCCAGTCATTGATGGGGCTAGTCATATAAAAATTGTACTGGTGGGTATGTGTTTTCAATCTTTAGTCCTTAACGTCTTGGTGTTTGACGGTGTCGTTAAAAAACATAATAATTCTCGTTTATTAAGCTATGTACACTTTAGAATTACAATCTATTCTGACAAGTCTAACGACGTAAAACACAAATCCTAGACACTTAAGCATTTACACAGAACTAAACTGCACTAACGTGGTAGAACAAAACAGATTGATTAAAACCTGAATTACGTTGCCATGCACCTTATGAACACGTACACAAACAAGCACAAACCGGACAATGATCACGTGATTACAGACAGCTCACAACACGTGGAGTGACCACGTGGTTACAGACAGCTCACAACACGTGTAGTACCACGAGCGAACGACACAGGTCACTAAGTACAAATAAAACAACAAGCTTTTAAATGCACTGAACATAAGCAAATAAAACTAATGATAACTATTTCTGAAAATAAATAAATAAAACTAATGATAACTATTTCTGAAAATAAATAAATAAAACTAATGATAACTATTTCTGAAAATAAATAAATAAAACTAATGATAACTATTTCCTACATGAAGAAATTTTTTTTCTCCAGGTTTATCCATTGGATAAGCTCAAAAGGCGGCGGAAAGTTGAAAGACATCGGCAACTGCTATTTCGCAGACGATTGCGTCCTGTCTGACAATGCAAAAGAGCGAGGCTTTAAGGTAGATTGGATATCGACTGAAACACATTTTTCAACTAAGTTCTCCATTGACAACGTCACCAATTCTATGAACGGTTTGCAGATCAAGTGTGAGTTATACAACACGGAAACAGAAGATACACATATTTTGATGACGTGTGAGATAGCTGTGTACCACCTGGCGAAACCTCCGACTTGCCAGGCGGTCGTTCAACCCAACAACACTGTCACGGTGTCCTGCCGCGCCCCTCAGGTTTTACCTGGCATAGTGTGCTATCTTTACAACAAAGAAACCAACACTTGGATCACAATGGATTCGATAAAAACTCAATTAAATAGCCAGTATTACTCCGTGTCTTGTTCGACAAATTTTAGACCAGTTTATTCCGGAAGTCAAAGTTTCCAGGTAAAAATAGTACCGGAGATCGCCACCAACATTGAAGACATTGAAAAACACGCGTCATTTTTAACAACAAATGATGTTTTTGCCAACGCTAAGCCCTCCCTCAGATTAACACTGCCGGCAGTAACAAAAGCCTGTCATGACACCACCAACACCCTACAGTTTTCCTGTACAGCTTACATGCCAGATAAACCGTCTTTAACCTGCTCAATGGGAGGGCAAGTCTTAAACTATAAGGAAGTTTTGGTTAGTAACAACGTCACGAACGGCAACGTCTTTGTTAAATTTAATTTCACATATCAATTAAAAATAAGCCCTTCAGACAATGGAACAGTTATCCTTTGTGTGGCTAAGGACGCTAAAAAACCTTCTGAGGAAATTCGCGAGTGGGCGGTGCTGGTGCTATCCGTACCTCCGACGCAACCTCCCGTGTTCATAGCGAGGGACGGGACGAGGTTCTATAGCAGCTTGCAGGTGAAGGTCAACCTTACCGCCACGTTTTACTGCCAGATGGACGGGGTGTCTGCCATCAACGTGACCTGCATGGGTTCGAACACGCGACGGTCTTTTCTCAACGCCAGCAACATCGTCGCTGTCAGCATCAGCGGCAGCGAAGGTATCCGAACCTGCGTCTGCGCGGCCACGCACCCGTCTGGTTGCGACCTCCCACAAACTCGCATCAGCATCACCAGCGGCGCCTCAACACCACATGCTACATCGAACAACATCCGTCTTTTGTACTACATCGTCGGCTCAAGCGTTGCTGTCGTCGTTATAGTTCTTCTTTTAACTGTCATTGTCGTCATCTACAAATACAGACACGCTTTATACAACTACTACAACTCTCCTCGATCTACCCAGCATGTTTATACCTACATAGAATTACCCACAATCCCTATCGACCAGGCCCCATCCCTCCCAGACCGCCCCCAATCACCAACTCACGAGACCCCGCCCCCAGTTCCACATCGCCCCAAATCATACGAGAAGCATTACGTCAATCAGGATGTCCTCACCATTCCATCACAAGCAGACGGCTACAACAAACTCGACTTCGAGTCTGGGCCCGAGAAAAGCGCACTCGCCAGACCCGACTCACCGGAAACCACACCTAAAGTCTTTGAGGAGATCACCGACGTCAGCGACGCCGTCACCAAACACGACAGCATCAACGACAACTTGAACGAGTACATCATCGCCACCACCCCGGTGGAATATTTCCAGACGCGAGAGAAAGAGGTCATCCCATCGGCCATGTCCGAGACATATCTAGACTCCAGCTATTCCGTCAATGAACCACAATGCAGCCGGCTGTCCTCGTCTAGCTTTCGTCAATCTCCGCCCAGCATTCGGGAGTCTTCGGCCATTTTCCATCCGTTGTCGCCCAGCATTCGGCAATCTCCACCCAGCATTCGGCAATCTCCGCCGAGCATTCGGCAATCTCCGCCGAGCATTCGGGAGTCGTCGTCCAGTTTTCCTCAGTCCCCAATCTCTGGGTGTAACGATTTGAACACAGCGGACAATCTCAGTCGGGGACTTGGCACCCACTGCAATATTGTCCATCACAACGATTCAAGTGACAGCAATAATGACACTGACACTGACACTTGACAATCAGATGACACTCAAAACTTGACAGTCAGGTGACGCTGAAAACTTGACAGTCGGAAATGTCTGTAAAAAACGTGTAAATACAAATGTTAATTCAACTTCAACAATTACAATTTTCGTACAAATTGTTTTTTTAAGTAGCCTAGAGGAAATATCGAAAGTAGTCTGTATCAGTTAAGGCGCAGAATAATTGTTTTAATTAAATACCAACCAGCCGTATGTAACCAATTGATTTTAGTGGCGTGTTATCGACCCCAGACCATTATTCTTGATTTTCCGCATCACTGCCCAAGAGAGACAACACCTATCGCCTCTTCACACCTTGCCACATAGCAGTGTGTTAAATATACACATCAATGACAATCTTTAGGACAAGGATGGGAAGGTGTGGGCGTGACGTACCAGGACGTAGATTAGTTCTTGACAAGTGGGTTCACGACACGATGTAGCCAGCCCGTGCAACCCGCCCACAAGATCCACCAACTCGCCCATACAACCCGCCCACTAACCACCCCGTACCAACCGTCCATAATACCCGCCTAGACCACCCACCAACGCGCCCACACAAGCCACCAACCCGCCAATACGTCCACACAAGCCACCAACCCGCCCACGCAACCCACCAACCCGCCCACGCAACCCACCAACCCGCCCACACAAGCCACCAACCCGCCAATACAACCTACCCACACAACCCACCAACCCGCCCACACAACCCACCAACCCGCCCACACAAGCCACCAACCCGCCAATACGTCCACACAAGCCACCAACCCGCCCACGCAACCCACCAACCCGCCCACGCAACCCACCAACCCGCCCACACAAGCCACCAACCCGCCAATACAACCTACCCACACAACCCACCAACCCGCCCACACAACCCACCAACCCGCCCACGCAACCCACCAACCCGCCCACACAAGCCACCAACCCGCCCACACAACCCACCAACCCGCCCACACAACCCACCAACCCGCCCACACAAGCCACCAACCCGCCCACACAAGCCACCAACCCGCCCACGCAACCCACCAACCCGCCCACACAACCCACCAACCCGCCCACACAAGCCACCAACCCGCCCACGCAACCCACCAACCCGCCCACACAAGCCACCAACCCGCCCACACAACCCACCAACCCGCCCACACAAGCCACCAACCCGCCCACACAAGCCACCAACCCGCCCACACAACCCACCAACCCGCCCACACAAGCCACCAACCCGCCCACACAAGCCACCAACCCGCCCACACAACCCACCAACCCGCCCACACAAGCCACCAACCCGCCCACACAACCCACCAACCCGCCCACACAAGCCACCAACCCGCCCACACAAACCACCAACCCGCCCATACAACCCGCCCACACAACCCACCAACCCGCCCACACAAGCCACCAACCCGCCCACACAACCCACCAACCCGCCCACACAAGCCACCAACCCGCCCACACAACCCACCAACCCGCCCACACAACCCACCAACCCGCCCACACAAGCCACCAACCCGCCCACACAACCCACCAACCCGCCCACACAAGCCACCAACCCGCCCACACAAGCCACCAACCCGCCCACACAACCCACCAACCCGCCCACACAAGCCACCAACCCGCCCACACAAGCCACCAACCCGCCCACACAACCCACCAACCCGCCCACACAAGCCACCAACCCGCCCACACAAGCCACCAACCCGCCCACACAAGCCACCAACCCGCCTACACAACCCACCAACCCGCCCACACAAGCCACCAACCCGCCCACACAAGCCACCAACCCGCCCACACAACCCACCAACCCGCCCACACAAGCCACCAACCCGCCCACACAACCCACCAACCCGCCCACACAAGCCACCAACCCGCCCACACAAGCCACCAACCCGCCCACACAAGCCACCAACCCGCCCACACAACCCACCAACCCGCCCACACAAGCCACCAACCCGCCCACACAACCCACCAACCCGCCCACACAACCCACCAACCCGCCCACACAAGCCACCAACCCGCCCACACAACCCACCAACCCGCCCACACAACCCACCAACCCGCCCACACAACCCACCAACCCGCCCACACAAGCCACCAACCCGCCCACACAACCCACCAACCCGCCCACACAACCCACCAACCCGCCCACACAAGCCACCAACCCGCCCACACAAGCCACCAACCCGCCTACACAACCCACCAACCCGCCCATACAATAAGCTTAAAAAGTGGTTCAAAATTGTAGTTGCCAGAGAGCTTGTTTTTCAACCACAATTCAATCCTTTATTTAATTAAAAAATGGCGAAAGGTACAAAATGACTACCGGTTTTATTAAGGTTAGAAACATTCTTACAAGTAATTATTCCTAAATAATCGTCTGAACATAGAAGCTTTAAAATAGTGAGACCACATGAATAAAAATATACGCAAATACATTTGTAACATCTTGAATCAAGCTGACAAAATCCACCGTTCGCCGTTTTGTTTATCTTTTGTCACCCTGTACGTTATATTTACTTTATCGTGTGAAACAATTGTTGTGACTTCCATTGTTTTGCTTTCCCTGGCCACTTCGGTTGACTCATTTATACGTAGAGGACGGTTTTTGTAATACAAAAATATGAAAATGATTTCTAAACGGCTTTATTTTTTAAAAATGTAAATATAATTTTATCGCTTGCCATTTTTTTTTAATTTAAAAAACTTTAGAATTATTATCCAGATATTCAATCGTTTTTCAAGCCAACTCTTACGTAACAATGAAAACAACAGCTGTTCTAGACTAACAAGGAGAAAGAAGAGAAATATGTTATGACTCAATTTATACAACTTGAGGCATTGGAAACTCACATTCTAAAGCTGGAACTCCAGAATCCTACCTCAACAAACAGACTTCAAAAAACAAGTTTTATCAAAGAAGACAAAAGTCTTAAAAAATATTCTAAAATACAAAAAGTTATATACGAAATAATTAAAACACAAAACGTTTCTCAACCGTGCCTCTTAAACATTTCATTAATCATCACACTGTATATGTATCCTAACCCTCTATCCCCAAATCCCAATCCTCCCTCGTGTACCAACCTTTCCTCACGCTCCCCATATCGCCATGTCTCTCCCACCATACTCTACTGCCCCCCCCCCCTTATTAAACTAGACAATGCCAAACGGAGCTGACTCAATTATTACAACACACAACCCACACACCACAATTTCTGAGAATGGCAATACTTTTTTTTTTTAGAAAACAAAAAGAACTCGCCTACCCCTGGGAGGGGGGGGGGCAAATTAAAGTGGTTAAGTGGTTAAGTGGTTAAGGAAGCGTTACCTGAGGATACGAGTGGTCTAGTCTGACCTCAACCTTCACAAAACACTTCAATAACCTTCTACAAAGATCAACATGGATCAATTTTATAAGTACCTATTTTTTGAAAGTATCAGTACTATAAGTATCAATATTTACGAAAAACGATTATATAATTAGTAGCAAACTAATATTAATATTACAATTAAAAGTTTTGGAAGAGTTAATTTTGGAGGCGTTTGTTTAAAGTTTATTAATATTTTCATTAACTTTTTTACTTGACACCATTCCACAAGAAATGTGTTTTTACAAGAATTGATATTATAAGCATAATTTGTTAGTGTAAGTTGTATACGTAAGGTCTATCATTACTACAATTCAGTAATACACATACTACAGTCAACAATTTTGAGTGAGTACTACAAATACTAAAATAAACTACGTCGCAATAAAATTTCCGCGCGTGTACCGTCAGAACCGGAAGTAAGTACCCAGGACCACAACAATGGCTGCTCATTACCACCTTCCAGAAAATACCAGAGAAACAAATTAACAAGTTAGCCAAACTTTCTTCTTCTTGGAAGTGGACATTTGGGCATTGGGACAACACAATTGGCAGTCTCATGTAAGTTGGTTGTTTTGTTTTATCATAGTTCGAGAGGCTAAACATTGGGTTAAACATCAGGATGGTTAAATATTGAGTTTAACACAAGGATAGTTAAACATTGAGTTAAACATCAGGATGGTTAAATATTGAGTTTAACACAAGGATGGTTAAACATTGAGTTAAACATCAGGATGGTTAAATATTGAGTTTAACACAAGGATGGTTAAATATTGAGTTAAACAACAGGTTTGTTAAATATTGAGTTAAACAACAGGTTTGTTAAATACTCAGTTAAACATTGAGTTAAACATCAGGATTGTTAAATATTGGGTTAAACATCAGGATGGTTAAACATTGAGTTAAACAACAGGTTTGTTAAATATTCAGTTAAACATTGAGTTAAACATCAGGATTGTTAAATATTCAGTTAACCGTTGAGTTAAACATCAGGATTGTTAAATATTCAGTTAACCGTTGAGTTAAACATCAGGATTGTTAAATATTGGGTTAAACACCAGGTTGGTTAAATATTGAGTTAAACAACAGGTTTGTTAAATATTCAGTCAAACATTGAGTTAAACATCAGGATTGTTAAATATTGAGTTAAAAATTGAGATGATCGGTATACATTGAGCTCTACACACAAAGTTGGTTAAACATTGGGTTAAACACCTGGTTGGTTAAACCAGAACAATTGGTGCGTGAAAAAAAAATGTCAGAGTAGATGAAAAAAAAATCAGTCAGTGACGTCATGAGTCACGCGACGGTTATAATCGAAATCGAAAACAAATATTCTATAGCGATAAGTGTCAAAGGTTTTTATTATCATGGCTAAAGAAAAGGTATGTTAATTTTTTTTAATGTCTAATGCCTGTACACGCTTGTTATTTTAAAAGTTTTTTCTTTCTTTTACGCCCGTGTCTTCTGTTCTAAACTAACGTAGCTAAAAATAGAAACACGGAATATCTCCATGACCTAGTTCCTAGAGTTATCCAGGTGCAAGACAGAACGTGCGGATGTTTATTTAGGTCACGAGGGGATATTCTAATTCTATTTTTAGATATATCCTCAAAGCCAAACTTTCACCGATGCAAGAGGGATGCTTAGATCTATATCGTAGTTATGTAAGTTGTATGTTATAGTATAGTTTGTATATGATTTTTTACAGACGATTATTTGTATATTAAATGATGGTAAACTTTAAACTTTTGTAGGCCAACCTGAATCAAAATATCGAAGTATGCATTCATCAGTAATTTAGTGAGTGATTGAAATGTTGTTTCTAATAATACTATTTTCAAGGCGAGTAAAACAATTGACTTCTTACTCCTAGACAGGGGTAAATGCACAATAATTTATAGAAAGATAATATTAATGATGGGTATAGTTTGACGGCTATGCCCACAATGCAAATTACCAATGAAAGATCGTTGCGAAATTTTCTTTTTTTTAAGTCATCAGCAAAAAATTTTTGTTCAAATCATGTAACATTTTCCTGTGTATCATTTGTAAAAATTCCTTATATTCCCGACATGAAAACTGGTTTGTTTAATAGTTATATAAGGTAGGGAAAGCTGGGCTAGCCAATCTCTCTAGATCACGCTGGTGATTGATCTGTTTATTGAACAGTTTGTGTACAAGTTAGATATTTCTACGGTAAAGAATCGACCTTTATTGGTCATTTGGTTTTAATATTTAGTGTAACAGTTATATGTTTCTACGTTAGAGAATCGACCTTTATTAGCCATTTGGTTTCAATGTTAAGTGTAAAAATTATATATTTCTACGATAAAGAATCGACCTTTATTGGCCATTTGGTTTTAATGTTTTCTGTAAAAGTTAGATAAAGGATGAAACATTGTCACGGTTATGATTCATCCTTCTATCATGTGAAAGATAATCAACCCTTCCTTGTCAAAACTACCTTGAGCTAAAATATATCAGGTCACCGTTATGATTCATCATTTTATCATATAAAAATTACTAAAAACCCTTCCTTTTTATAACTTCCTTTTGCATCTCATTATACCACTTCCCCCGCCCCTCCCCTTTCTCATTTTTTCCCAGAACGCAGCAGGCGTGATATCATTTAATCTTTTATCTAACTTTAAATTTTAAAAAATTTTAAATAGCTAGTTCAAAATTTTATTTCCTTTTATTCTATTGATATCTTACCTCTGTTTTGTAGAAGATTAGGATTAAAGTTATTCTATGACTAGCAATATCGCATGTTTGAACAAGGGATTAATTGCTGTAGGATTATCGCAAGATTTCGCATTTTCATTTCACGGACCCTCCATTATTTTAATTGGAAACCTACAACACAATTCGCAGAACTAGAAATTAATGATCTCACGTGTGTTGAAAAAATGTTTGTCCCATTGATCCAACCCTGACCCCCCCCTCCCCCCCCCCCCCTTCCCCACCAACCGTAAAGAGCTTCTGAAAACTGGTTTACCCTTTCCACCCCGACCACAGAGAAAGGTGTGCGTTTTTATTTTATTTTCTTCCTGCTTTGAATAAGGAACTAATCACCGATGCCATTATTCTCAAAAATTAATCTCAAACTCCCGACAACAAAAATATTGAATCAAGACTAATTTCAATTTCATGCTTGTTTTAAAGCAAATATTTTTTGTCGTGTCGAGTTCTTAAATTAAGAATCACTAAAAAGTGGAAAATAAAACAAATTTAAAAAAAAAAAACAACTTAATAGCAAAAGCTTTTAAATGCACTTTTCATAAAAGTTTTGGTCTCTCATGAGACATATTTTAACGAATTAGTTTTATTTTCTTATTTTCATTGCATTTTAAAGCTTGTTGCTATAACGTTTATTGAAAATATTTGTTTTATTGTTATTCTATCCGTTATTCGATCCTACCGCTTAATTTTTAGAGAGCGTTGAAGTAATCTTCTCTTGAGACGTGTGAGTAGGTTTTCTATATGGTTGTTCAATGTCCACATTTCTGCAGCATAGAACATTCTCTTGTCTTGGATCTCCGCTTTAGGAAAGGTTTTTATAGACGTTTCCTAGTCTAGTTTCTTGAAGGCTTAAGAGCAACACTTTTAGCTACTTGTTTGATTCTTGCAGGTTCGCTCTTGAATGTCTTGAGACGTGAGTTTGAAATCGGGCTAAATCAGCTGACGATACATTTAGGTCTGTCAAAAACTACAACCTCACAAACTCTCTGGTTTTATTAGTTTGAGCCCGAAATTACACAATTCGTTTAGTATATCATTTAACATATATGTGATATGTCTTATGTTAAATCTCGCAAGTCGTATACTAGATGTCACATTTCACCATTTTCCTGTCACAATCAAATGTCACTTAATACACCGTATGAAACGTGTCAAAAACCACATACCACTTGTCATATGCGAACATGTCATATCACGCATCAGTAATTCTTTTTCTAGAATGTTCCTTGTTTGGCTGGCTCTGTGGTGCCTGCTGATGGTGGAGGTCACGTGTCAGACACCAAACGTCATGTGTCCTCTCGTCAAGGTGGGCGGACCCTTAACATTAACCTGCGGTGGTGAGGTGCCAGTCAGTCACAGGTAAGGCTTAGAGTTATGTAATGGCCAATTAGTTTAATTAAAGCAGCTAGTCACAAACTATCGAGTATCCTCAGTTTTAGCTTACATCTCAAGCTATTGGTTGGGGTTTAAGAACATGACTCTACTTTAGGGGGGGGGGGGGGGGGATGCTGACTGGACTAAGAACAATATCGTTGAAACGAAAAATAAATTTGTTGATTTCTTGTTTTTAAATAGCTCAACTTACAGTAAAAATATTTTGAAATGTTTTAACTATCAATAGTTTTCTTATTTTCGCAATTGTTTATTTTTTCAATGTCTACCCCCCCCCCCTGAACGTTATGGAATTTATATAGAAAACTTACCCCCCAGAAAAAAAATGTTGCCCCCCCCCCCTCCAAAATATCAAGTGGAATTCCTTAATAGATTTCCCGGAAAAGCCAAAAAACCTCGAAAAAATGCAGTTTTTGGCCCATATCTCGGCAACCAGACCACTTAGCGACTTGAAACATTTACCAATCGATTTATGCCATAATTTAGAACTATATTGCCGAAGAAAGTTTTCAAAAATATCCTTTTGTTCGGTCACAAATTTTAAAATTACATAAACACCTACAAACCGATCGTTCTCCTAGCTTGAACGCACCCCAGCATTATACGTCAGAGCTATTTTTAGATAACATAAGGAAATTGCGTTTAAATGTCACTAGACTTTTTAATTAACTTGTTTTTTTAATAATTGAATGTTTTATTTAATTTAAATAAAGTTTTTAAACATTTTTTTTCACATTATATTGTAAGCAAATGTCCGGTATATCTTACCGAGGTCTGTGTATAGAGGGAAGTATCTAATCTTTTGTCTTCCTGATTAGGTTCATCTTCTGGAAGCTGAGCGGTCCACGTGGCGAGACGACAGACATCGCCAGCTGCTACTTTGATGAACAGTGTGAAATCTTCGAGAGCCAGTCCTTGTACAAGCTAGTGACAAACTCCACAACAGACACGTTCTCCAGCCAACTGACCATCACGTCCTTACACACCTCCATGAGCAGACACACACTCATGTGTCAGGTCAAGGACACATCAACCAGCACAGTAACCACGCCCAGCCAATGCGTCATCCAGACGTACACGCCCCCTGTGTCCGCCAGCTGTCAATCAAACGTTCTTCCATATAAAGTATACATCAGCTGCACCATCGTGAATGTTTACCCAGATGTTGCATGTTTCCTACACGAAGATCAAAGCATCACTGGGAATATGATAACCATGACGTCATCAAAACGTCAGCTCACACACGGATCCCTCCCGTCTTACACCGTTAAGTGTACTCACACCGCTGTGCTAGAACCTAACCAAAACTACACCTACAAAGTTTCGTTTGCTCCCAAATCGAACTCACCCGACCATCAAATCCCCAAGTACGATACCCCGGTCATCAACTACAGTGTACCGTATGTAGAGAAACCTTCAGTCAAACTTTCAATCGATAGATCAGTGTCAGCTTGCCTGAAAGGTAAAACTCTCCCCACAGTCGCAAAGTGCCATGTCCTTAAGGTGCCAACAGTCCCGGTGGTCAAGATGTATTTTGACGAGAAGGACATCCGGATAAAAAGTTTTGACAAAACTAAAACACACAAGCTGTTTAACGCTTACACGACGTTTGAACACATGCTGACCGCTGAGAATAATGTGAGAAATTTCACGTGTGTTGTGACCTACAAATATCGCGGCAAGATACACACCATGACAGAATCAACACACGTTGATCTTGACGAGCCCCCAATATTTAAAAATGAAAACGATGAATTAAACACCACGTTAATAGCGCTGGGCGGCGGCACGTCTAGACTAACCTGCGCCGTTAAAAAACTTAAAACCAAACACAAGATTCTGCTCACGGCGACCTGCTACGGACAAGACAAACAGGTCATCATGACAAACACATCTCAAGGTCATGAGGTGCATTTTAATGTTACCTTAAACAACACGTATTGCGCATGCGTTATGTCAGACAAAACTTACTGCTACAGCAGAACGGCCAACCTGACAATCATAAGCCAAGAAGTACAAACAGCGCAACAAATTTCAGGGGACATAACTCTCACTAAACAAGCGGCTTATCTTATCACAGCAGGGGTGGTCGGACTTGTAGTTGTCGTAGCCTTGCCTATAGGTGTGTGGATGTACCGTCAAAAAATGTGTCAGCCGTCCGCAGCTAAGCTAAACAACAACCGCAGAAAACGTAACAAAAACACAGCAGTATTAATCTAGCGATGTTGTTGTAGTTATGTTTTTAACTTTTTGCTCCGCTTGATAAACTTTGCATTTATAATCTTACCCGGGCATTAGCTTGTTAGTGATCTTGCTCACATTTTGCTCTATCGTCAAGTTTTTGCTTGTTTTTGGGTAGTTTTTTTTTTAAATTTTTTTAAACGAAACAATTTTAAATATTTTGTGAGTGAAAACATTCAGTTATTGTTTTTAAAATTCATTACATTTTACGATAGGATGTCGAACATTTTTTGTGGGTTTTTTTTTAAATTTTTTTTTTTGTAAATTGTGGCAGCATTTTCATTTGATTATTTAATGATTATTACTTCTAGAGTTTTATTTTTTATAGTTTCATTTTGAAGTAATCTGTTTTAAACAAGTTAATTAAAAAGTCTAGTGACAATTTTAGCGCAATTTCCTTATGTTATCTAAAAATAGCTCTTTCGTAGCGTAAATCAAGAGCAGGGTTAGTAAAACCATTGGTTAGTTATTAAAACGTTTTTTATTAAAAAAAAATTTCAGTATTTTACATGTTTTATTTACAATAGAGTTACATGACTAAAAACCATTGCGCGCCCAGCTACCGAACGTGACGTCGCATCCATTGAACGTGATGGTGCAGCTATTGAACGTGACGACGCGTGTGGTGTGGTTGGAAAAAATGCCTACTAATTCGGTCCAAATTTTAATTAATTCAAAAACATTTTTGTGACCGAACGAAAGGATATTTTTGAAAACTTTCTTCGGCAATATTGTTCTAAATTATGGCAGGAATCGATTGGTACATGTTTCAAGTCGCTAAATGGTCTGGTTGCCGAGATATGGGCCAAAAACTGCTTTTTTTCGAGGTTTTTTGGCTTTTCCGGGAAATCCATGAAAGAAACCCGGAATTTTTATAGCCTATGTTCATCCTCGTAACTTGCTTAACATAATTGCTTTTGGAACTAGTCATCGATATTGCTTCGTTGAGGAGGAGATACGACTTAAAGCTGTGGACACACATCCATCCATCCATCCATCCATTCATACAATGCGTCATCCAGACGTTTTTGGCCCATATCTCGGCAACCAGACCACTTAGCGACTTGAAACATTTACCAATCGATTCCTGCCATAATTTAGAACAATATTGCCGAAGAAAGTTTTCAAAAATATCCTTTCGTTTGGTCCCAAAAAATTTTTTGAATTAATTAAAATTTGGACCGAATTAGTAGGCATGTTCATCCAACCACACCACACGCGTCATCACGTTCAATAGCTGCACCATCACGTTTAATGGCTGCGTCATCACGTTCGGTAGCTGGGCGCGCAATGGTTTTTAGTCATGTAACTCTATTGTAAATAAAACATGTAAAATACTGAAAAATTTTTTAATAAAAAACATTTTAATAACTAACCAATGGTTTTACTAACCCTGCTCTTGATTTACGCTACGACAGAGCTATTTTTAGATAACATAAGGAAATTGCGCTAAAATTGTCACTAGACTTTTTAATTACCTTGTTTAATAAAGAGCCTTAGCTGGATAAAGGCCGTTTTGTCTAGTTTTTAAACAACAATGAACTAATGTCGACAATGGGGCATTATCACCCAGGCAAAGACAGTTTTGCCAAACAAAAAATAAAATAAAATGTTTACAACTGGTAATTGTAATTAAGAGTTAAAATTCAGCATATAATGATGAGCTTATATATTTTCAATAAAATATATTTCAAATTTTTTAACGCATATTTTCCATATTTTTCATTTTTAATGAACTGTTTTTTACGCATATTTACATATTTTTCATTCTTTAATTAACTGTTTCTCTATACAGGAACCAAATCATTTGACATATTACATGAAACTTTCTTATATATTTGTCTTTGGACGGAACTTAAACCTTGTTTTTAAAAAATATAAGAATATTTTTAGAGATTTTTGTAAATTGTCATGCTTATTGTCTCATAGTTAAGACAAACTAGGAAAATTAAAAGTTTCAAATTTTATTTCAGTTTTTTTTTTCTTTTGGTTCCAAGTTCTGATGTTAATTTCCAGACAGAATGTGTATTTGAGATAACTAAATAATAAAAAAAAATGATTAATATCTTTTTGCGTACAATTATTTTTTTTTAGCAACATACATAGCCTTTTATGTTTATGCTGTTTTATAGCTGAATGTACATATATGCATGCGTAGTTGTTTTATTTCTACTTTTTTTGGCCAACATTTTCGTTGTCGTGGTGAAACTGCCCCCTCAATCTTCGTGTTTCTAGAAGCTGTGTGGTCCATGGAAGACAGGCATTCATCATAAATACAAAATATAAGCTAGTCATTCAACACGAACACAAAATTAATAAGTAAATAATTGAACACCAATTTAAAAATTGGGGTTGTTTTATTTAGTCTTTTTGCAAAGATGTCGTGACTTAGGGATCAGTGAGATTTCTGGCACTATTTTAAAGTCAGTGTTTTCAGTCGATGGACCAGGTATGTTTGATACAGCAAGCTATGACGGACATATCAGTGGGATGTATGGCAAAGGTCTATTTAACAGTCAGTGTTGTCAGATGATGGACCACGTATGTTTGATACAGCAAGCTATGACGGACAATGTTTGTTCCAGCATGTGATCCTGAAAGATGATTGTGACATATAAAACCATAAGGCGGTCACTCAATCAATTTTTAAAGAACGGTCATTTAAATTCAAACTTCCTGAAAAAGAAAAGTAATTAATATAAATGGGTGTAGTTTCAATATATAAAGGGTGTGAATACAAAGATTATATTGAACCTAATGGTAAATACCGAAGAGCGCTTTTGCGACTCATAAAATTAACATTTTGTGGTAAATCAATTTCAGATGCCTAAGTATTTGTTAAATCCAGTGTATGTTTCTTTACATACAGTTAATTCAGTTGTGACACCGTATATATATTTTGTCAACATGAAACTATTTCCGCAATTAGTGAATCCCTGACAGCGATAGAGCCCATCTTTGTGGGAATAGGAAAACAGGGGACGGAATTCACCATCTCATCTCTACAAGAAAAGGGACATAATTCATTAAATGACCTCTACAAGATAAGGACCATAATCAATATATCACCACTACAAGAAAATTGACATAATCAATTACATCACTATTACAATATAAGGGACATAATCCGTTACCTCATTACAGAAGAGTTATTTGGTCTAAACATCTAAGAACCCCAAACCAACAATTATACCAGTATTTCACCATCTTCTCTCCCGTAGTCTAGGAGGAATTTGGTGCCTGTAATATCCTCATCATCGTCTCCCTCCTTCAGTCTCCCAACTCCCAGTGGCAACAGCATCCATTCTCTGAAGTCTTTCCATTTTTTTTTTCGTCACTCTCTTTTAAGTTTGCAGGTGCTTGTTCTAACAGATGAGCTTTAGCCGTCTTCAAAAACATACAATGTAAACGCTGAAGTAAGTATCGGTTATGTAAGTATATGTCATCAGCATACTCTGATTGGAAGGTTGAGTAAAAAAATAAACTTTAATTTACCAAAATCCCCATCTTTTAACTGTTTAAACGAGTCTGGTTACACTCAATTCTTTATCTTCTCAATAACTTATTCTAGCCTTCAATGTACAGATTTTTCCATTTTATACGCTACATTTCATGTACGCCATTTTTACTTTTTGCTATTTTCCGTGTGAGCGAATTTTTATATGGGCATTCTTTTTGGTTTGTTAATTTGTTTTGGTCATTTTTTTCAAATGAGAAGAATCTCATTGTGGTCATATTATCTGAACCGCATCATTTCGTTGCGCTACATTCAAGGAACTAAAAGAACACAGTACATAACTACTTAAGATTTACACACGTTATTAATTCTATCAATCGAGAGATTCTCAAGATCAAGGTCGTGACCTTACAGGAAGTAAACGATTGAAACTCTCAACAACATATTTCCTCATTGGTTAGTCATCGGGTGTTTGATGTCACGAAAAACATATTTGGGAACAAGAATTGATTACAATTAGACACAACAATTCTTTAGGAAATAAAAATGGAATCGTGATGAAAACTTTTTTTGTAAGGATTGTAAGGCAGAGGCGTATCGATCTATTCCGGCTCACGGGGCGGACTATCATTTTTGCGCCCCCTTCCTCCCAGTTCTATATTTAGTACTCCTGTGTGAAAAAAGCGCCCCCCCCCCATCAGTTGGAATGGATTGTGGCGCTTCTAACCAGTTACTATCCCGTAACATTTTCTCTTTCTGTGCCACTAAATTGTTATAGAAAACAGTTGAATCAATGTAAAGCCTTGTTGTCGTTTAGTTTCGTAAGTTTCACTGATTATATTTCAATGTTTCAGCTTAAATATAGCTTTTAAACATTTTTCTACCCCTTTTGTCACCCCCTTAGGGTCAGTGCCCGGGGCACCCGCCCACCCTTAGCTACGCCATTGTTGTAAAGTGTATGTTTGCAAACGTGTGCGTAATGATTGTTTTTAGTGCATCAAGTGATTTTGGTATTGTTATCAATAACATGCATGTGTGAGGTTTCATGTTAAATCTTACTCAGTTCACCTGGGTCTATTGAAGGTGTTGCGAGCTCTGTCCAGCATTGTTCTATATGAAGATATATACGTCCTAGGTCTATTGATGAGTTTTGACCACTGTCCAGCATAATCTATTTGAAGATATACACGCCCTGTGTCTATGTGAAGATGTACACGCCCTGTGTCTATGTGAAGATATACACGCCCTGTGTCTACTGATGCGTGGTGACCACTGTCCAGCTGTAGTCTATATGAAGACAAGGATACGGTTCCATGTCTCTGTGGTTCTCTGCTAGAAATGATAACACAGGATGATGCCATAAATACAAGCGTGCATATATACAACTTACAATAATATGATACAAGTGCATATACAAACAACGTATAATATTATACTACACGTGTGCTTTTACACAGTTTTCAATGATGTGTAGGGTGAAATTGCTTTAAAATCGGTTTTACGACGAGTTTAATTCGTATAATTTTATGTAAGATAACACATTCCGTCAAACTGTAGATGATGACATATGACATCACAAATACTTTATGATGTGTTGTTATTCACCTTGCAGCGACAGGTGTAGCTTGCGTGACCAGAGTTTGTACACCGTGCAGCCTACCACCCCCCCCCCCCCGTCTCTTATCACCCAATGGCCTGAATAAGTGGGCGTATGTCTAGTAAAACGCCCTCGTTTTCGCTGAATTTCCTGTCAAACTGAAACTAGATGCGGGTAATCTAGTGTGTTATTTCAGGCAGGGACTACTACTCGTGTGTTCTTCGGGGAAACCGATACTAGTTGTAGGATTGTGTGTGTACCGCACATATGGATTATTGTACCACACATTTGGACTATTGTACAGCTGGTTGTAGGATTTTATGTACAAAGTACATCTGGACTATTATATAACTGTACCGATGATGATTGTATGATTCTACGTAAAACATAAATCAGGATTCTTCGGTAATTATACACGTCGTAGCTTATGATTTAACTTAATGTTAACAACAAGGGGTGCTTAGCGTAATTAAGAAGACTAATTTAATGACATCATGATTTTTGTTAGGAAGCCGTTGTTGATGTTTATTGTTTTTTTAAAACATACCAGCTAGCTGCTAATTGTTTGATTGGTCGGTATTTGTTTTTCGTATGACGATATTTAAAAAAAAAGTTAACTACGAATTAAGATTCAGTATTACAAACTGAAGGACTTTAATCACGTGGTTCCCGGGTAACTGAAGGACTTTAATCACGTGGTACCCGGGTAAAGTGTACTCACTCTGACCGTGCTCCAGGTTCCATATAATGTCCACGTCTGAAAGTGTGATTGGTGAAATCCATTTTCAGGTCACATGTAATTTTATGCGATCTCGTATTTTCACAATTTCATGCGATCTCGTATTTTCACAATTTCCTGCGATCTCGTATTTTCACATTTTCCTGCGAATAAACAAGTCTATTGTTTTTAAAACTATAAATAAAAGTGCACACTTAGTAAGAAAATATACACCTTGTCAGAAAACCTGTGATAATTAGTTAGTTGAAGATAAAGAAATAAGATCGTAGCTTATTAAGATATTTACCCTGAGTGAGAGAGAGTTAAAAGTTGGGCTAACTTAATTGTCTCAATATTTTTTTTGTTGCTCTTAAAATTAGACTTGGAGTCCTAAACATTTTTCATTGTTGTTTAATAAATAAGATTTACTTCGGAAATTGACATCCAAACTCTCAAAAATAATTTTAACACAGCGTCTTATTTACGAGATTTGTAAAAACGTCTACACAATATTGTGAACATACTTATCTATAAAGTATTATGAACACACGTATCTATGTATCGTCGTATTCACAAATATCTATACAGAATTGGGAACACACTTATCTTTACATTATTATGATCGTGCCTCAAAACGTTTAAGCTGTATTTACCTCAAATAAATAAGATTTTAATTTTATCAATATCGTTTTGAACAATTAAAAAGCTCTGGATTAACACATATTTGGCAACTAAGCTTTGACCTCTATAATATTAAGCTACCGGTATGCTAACAATGGCCTAGATCTGTTAATAGACAATTGCCTAGATCAATAGTTAGGCTAACCTGCGGTGATTTAGGCAAGCAGACGTTTACCTGGATTAGCTTTGCCTAAAACAGCGGGAAATGGATTTTAAGATTTTACGAGATAATTCAGATAAGAATATCCAATTGTCTTGACTTAACTTTGATTGACCGAACTTTTTAAATTGAAGTTGTGGCGGCAGTGGGTGATGTTCATTGACAGGAACACGCGAAAATGTTGGGACGAAAATCAAAGTTTAAATTTTGGGATTTTTTTTCTTCACAAAATAGCGTGAAACATTAAACTGATGTGAAACAGTTGATAAATTGATGTTAAGCAATTTATAAAATGGTGTGAAACAGTTGTAAATTGTAACAGTTATAAGTTATAACAGTTATAAATTACAGATTATTTCAAAATTTACAGTTATAAATTATAACAGTTATAAATTACAGATTATTTCAAAATTTGATTTAAGCAGAAAATAAGCATATTGAACCAGATTTAAATATAAAACCTGGTAGAAAAACTCGTGTAATAAAATAAACATTCTTCCAATCGGTATTTTATTGGAGACATTACTAACCCAACCCAACTGATTGTCGATAGGTTTAATCAGAATGAAAAAAATGTGTTTTTACTTTCAAATAACATCGAGATACTATTCTTCTGACGTTCAAATATCTTCCACCATATCGTTGTATGCTCCCAATGAAAGACAACTACCGTCACATTTTGTTAGAGGCGTGTTATGAAGTAAGTGTGTCAAATAACGAACAGTTGTGTATTTGTCGTGTTGCCGATATGTAATTCAGTTGGTAAATTTTTAACTTAGAGTCACTAACACTCAAAGGCATTTTCCAGCTTTTATAAGTATTTTTTTATGTGTGTGTGTGTGTATGGAGGAGGCGGGGGGGGGGGCATAGAGACTTGAGTTATTAAAGCACATACACAAATTAAAATAAGTAATAGTTTTTTTTATAAATTATAGGTATCTAGAAACGCTATATATTTACATCTTCACTGAAGAAAAATATAAAGTCAATACATTTTTTTTTAAAAACGAAAATAATTTTTTCCCGATGTTTTCACGGATATATGTAGAATTGTACTATGTAGGGATGTAAAAAGTCAATACACCTTATTTCCAATATTCCCCCACCCCGTATATTTGATAATGCTTATATTGTTGATAAAGTTCCTTTATAGGCACAACGTATCTCGATTAACTTTTTATTTCCTCTACTTGATCTGGCTGTAAAACGCGCGTACCCACGAGAAGTCGTGTCTTTCTGAAAAATGGGGCGGAACATTTGACATGCAGAAAATCTTCCCTGAATAACTGTTTACTTTTAAGATCAGTTAAAGCGAAACTCGGTGATAAGTAGAGCCGAGTGAATTTACCCCGAAACTCCGTCTTCTTGAAATAGGTCGTAGAGTAACCGGATAATATCGCCCACATTGACTGAAGATTTTCTTTCGGTGGTATTTTTTGTTTCGTCACTTTTATAGGTTTTTTTACGCTACGCTATAAATAGCCAGTTGTTTTGAAAATTTTGCGGTGATTTTTTTTTAATATTAAAAAAATACAGGATTACTTTGCTCGTAGTTGTTCATATAATGCTGTTATCGATTCACCAGTCATAACGTTGTGTTGATGTGACTAGGTGTAGGTTCCAAGCTTCATCTACATCATTTTGCTTCTCTTATTAAAAAAGTATAAGGTAATATATACATATTGTTCGAATATTTAAATTTTTTTTAAAATATAAACCTGACTAAATTGTAAAAGTTAAATGAATATATATATATTTTAGCTACATCTTCAATTATATATCCGTTTTTAATATATGTGTGACGGATATTCTTATTTGTCGTTTCCTTCTATAGTTTCTAAATTATTAAGTAGACAGTTCAATTTTCAATTTATTCAATTTATTCAATTACGGTAACAATAGTAGGCACGAAGGCCTTTTTTTCACATTGGCCGTTTTAAAATTAACAAATAAAAACAACAATTCAATAACAGCATTAAAAAAAGCAATAGCATAGTAACGACTTAGCAGTAACATAGCAATAAAAATGTGGAATAAAGAAATAATATTGCATAGTTATAATACAAAATGAGATAAAAAAAAGAATATACTAGATCTAGATGAATGAGAAATGTTTCAATGAGTCAGTTAGAGAGGTCATTAAATAATTGTTGTTTTAGTTTAGATTTGAATATATTTTTAGATCTAGATAGCTTTATTTTATTAGGAAGATTGTTCCACAAATTAGAACCAGAGTAGGCGAAGCTATGTTTTTGGAAAAAAGTTATATATGGGAACGGTAAATTAAGACGACGATTTAATTTTATGTTAAAAGAAAATAGGTCTGGTAAGTAAGAGGGGGCTGTTTCGTGGAATATTTTATATATAAAATTGATTTAGTATATATTATCTTTTCGTTACTCAATTAAAATAACTTTACACACACAGATTCTGCCCCATCTACACACCAATTCTGCCCTATCTACACACACAGATTCTGCCCTATCTACACACCAATTCTGCCCTATCATCACACCAATTCTGCCCCATCTACACACTAATTCTGCCCTATCTACACACACCAATTCTGCCCCATCTACACACTAATTCTGCCCTATCTACACACACCAATTCTGCCCTATCTACACACACCAATTCTGCCCTATCTACACACCAATTCTGCCCTATCTACACACCAATTCTGCCCTACTACACACACCAATTCTGCCCTATCTACACACCAATTCTGCCCTATCTACACACCAATTCTGCCCTATCTACACACCAATTCTGCCCTATCTACACACCGATTCTGCCCTATCTACACACACCAATTCTGCCCTATCTACACACCAATTCTGCCCTATCTACACACCAATTCTGCCCTATCTACACACCAACTCTGCCCAATCTACACACCAATTCTGCCCTATCTACACACACCGTATCTGCCCTATCTACACACCAATTCTGCCCTATCTACACACCAATTCTGCCCTATCTACACACCAATTCTGCCCTATCTACACACCAATTCTGCCCTATCTACACACCAATTCTGCCCTATCTACACACCAATTCTGCCCTATCTACACACCAATTCTGCCCTATCTACACACCAACTCTGCCCTATCTACACATAAATTGTGCCCTATCTACACATAAATTCTGCCCTATCTACACACACCAAATCTGCCCTATCTACACACCAATTCTGCCCTATCTACACACCGATTCTGCCCTATCTACACACCAATTCTGCCCTATCTACACATAAATTCTGCCCTATCTACACATAAATTCTGCCCTATCTACACACCAACTCTGCCCAATCTACACACCAATTCTGCCCTATCTACACACACCGTATCTGCCCTATCTACACACCAATTCTGCCCTATCTACACACCAATTCTGCCCTATCTACACACCAATTCTGCCCTATCTACACACCAATTCTGCCCTATCTACACACCAATTCTGCCCTATCTACACACCAATTCTGCCCTATCTACACACCAATTCTGCCCTATCTACACACCAACTCTGCCCTATCTACACATAAATTGTGCCCTATCTACACATAAATTCTGCCCTATCTACACACACCAAATCTGCCCTATCTACACACCAATTCTGCCCTATCTACACACCGATTCTGCCCTATCTACACACCAATTCTGCCCTATCTACACATACATTCTGCCCTATCTACACATAAATTCTGCCCTATCTACACACACCAATTCTGCCCTATCTACACACCAATTCTGCCCTATCTACACACCAATTCTGCCCTATCTACACACCAATTCTGCCCTATCTACACATAAATTCTGCCCTATCTAAACACCAATTCTGCCCTACCACAAACACCGATTCTGCCCTACCACACACACCAATTCTGCCCTATCTACACACACCAATTCTGCCCTATCTACACACACCGATTCTGCCCTATCTACACAACAATTCTGCCCTATCAACACACCAATTCTGCCCCATCTACACACTAATTCTGCCCTATAAACACACCAATTCTGCCCCATCTACACACTAATTCTGCCCTATAAACACACCAATTCTGCCCTATCTACACACCAATTCTGCCCTATCTACACACCAATTCTGCCCTACTACACACACCAATTCTGCCCTATCTACACACCAATTCTGCCTTATCTACACACCAATTCTGCCCTATCTACACACCAATTCAGCCCTATCTACACACCGATTCTGCCCTATCTACACACACCGTATCTGCCCTATCTACACACCAATTCTGCCCTATCTACACACCAATTCTGCCCTTTCT